GATTTGTTTGAATGAAGTTAACAAATAGTCCAAATAATTGCGAAAAAAAACAACTTTTCTGTGAATGGCAAGACTGGAGACCATTAAAAACTTGAACAACATCAACAACATTGGGTGTGATATTGACAGGAAGATAAAAATATAGTCTTGTAAGCAACAACTTCAAGATCGCAATGAAAAAATGACATCAACAACAACAGCAACACTAATAGGGAAAACAACAACAGCAGCAACAACATCAACACTTTTTTGCCACAAAGGATAAATAACACACGGCTCGTTGCGCTAGCATCAATCAATAACTGAAAATCGCTTCGACGTTTTGTATTCAACAACAACAACAACAATAGCAACAACAACAACAACAAACAACAACAACACAACAACAACACAACAACAAAAAACAACAACAACAATATTAACGTGGCCAACAGAAAAAACCTTTTGACAAATTACTTTAAAAATGGTATGGACGACATTATAACCATCAAACATCAGAGCTGCAATTAATTACAATAATTTTTCATCGCGTCAACTTATAAAAACATACAAACGAACACATACATACAAACATACAAACATACACCACACAAACATACATACCTAAAAATAAACAAACACACAAACAAGCATACATGAGTGTACATGCAAGCAGATATATCATACAAACATATTGAGATTCGCTATTCTTTCCTAAAGACGACAGCTTTCAACTAAAACACATTAGCATACATACATGACAATTATACAATCATCAACACCTACAATCACACACATATATAAGCACAAACAACCATACACACACACACACACATACACAAACAAGCATAGACACAAAAAAACATGACATGCTTCGAATATAATTAATTACAATGCCAAAACTTTCATACAAACACGTACACACACACTCACACACACACTCTCACACACACACACACACACTCACACACACACACACACACTCACACACACACTCACACACACACACACACACACTCTGAGACATATATAAATCTTAAATGAATGCTTACATACTCCAACACAAAATTATACACACACGCGCACAAACATACAAACACATAGCATTGCTTAAAGCAATACATTAATCAAATACACACACATACATACACAAGAAAGCATAATTAATAAAATGTTATTATATTTGTAAATACACACTTACATACTGTCACATACAAAACACACACACCCACACACACACACACACACACACAAACACATACACACAGACACACATAGGCCCATGGCACGTTTAAAAAGTATTAAATCTTGATTTAAGTGTTTTCCATCGTAAGACTTTGAATAAACGAAACGGAAATGCGGACGAACGCGTACTCACACAAACATACAAATATATAAAACTATATTCAAACATACAAACAAACAAACAAACAAACAAACATGCAGCCGCCCACACACACACACACACACACACGCACGCACGCACACAAACATACAAACAAACTACTGCGACGCTGGACAGATGTTTTGAAAAAATTATTTGTATGCAACATAAAAATGTCAGAAAAACTGCAAAAAAGAAAACACAGACACGCACGCACGTACACACGCGTGCACACACGCACGCAATTTAAACAATGAAATCTAACAACCTCACTATCCATATGAACAAAATAGCATGTATACAATTGAATGTAGTTGTGAAAAAATACCTACCTCGCTCATCGGCGAAAAAATGTAAACATCAGAAAATATAAGTGATAGAAAATCTTTAAGAATAAAAACACAAAATAAATATTAATAAAAGTAAAATAAAGAATTAATCAAAAAAAGAGTAAGAGACAGAAAAAGAAAGAGAGAAGGAGAGAGAGAGAAAGACAAAATGAAAGAGGCGAAAAAGGGAGAAAAACTGTAAGATAAATAGAAAGAGGAAAAAAATAGATTGTGACGAAAAGAAGATAAAATGTGAGAGTAAAACAGCAAAAGAGAAAAAGATAGAAGGGCAGATAGATAGATAATTTGATTGATAGATAGAAAGAGAGAGAGAGAGAGAGAAGGAGAGAGAGAGTAGAGAGAAAGTAAGAGAGAAAAAAAGATAGGAAGAAAGAACGAGTGAAAGAATTAAGAGTAGAACAGGAACTAAAGAGCGGAAGTAGCGTGGACAACATAATGGCTTGATTAATGCCCCCTTCACGTCCAAATATATCGACCACTAGCTCGACTGGTCAGCCCTGAAATCGTTGTGATGACGTCATATGGGGGCCAAGATGGCCGACGGATCGGTTGAAAATAAAGATACAGGTTATAACTAGAAAAAATGAAAGAATGGATAAAAAGCCAAAAAATAAATAAAAAAAGAAAAAGTTTAATAGTGAGTACATGATTGAATGAAAATGTATAAAATGAAGATGGAATAAGTCAATCAGAGTGCACTTGTGTGCGTACGTGTGTAAAGGTACATGTGTTTTTGTATGTGTGTGCTTGTGCCTGTGTGTATGATTGAAGAGAATTTTATTTTTTTTGATTGGATGTTATGATGATGACGTTTGAAGAGGATAACAATGATGACGATTGACCATAACAAAATCACTGCTT